TTTATTATTTTTGTTGTTGGTGGCGCTGATTGGCATTAAATTTGTTTTTGAAATATTGAGCAATAGTTGATGATCACTAAAGAAGTTATTTATATCACTTAGATTATTGCTAATAGATTGTTCTATTTCTATGGCAGATTTGCCACTTATTTTCAAATTGGCATCATCTGCATAGATGCAAATTTTGTTTCCCTTATTACCAGAAATGACTTGAGGTAATCCATTTATATATATTAAAAATAAAAGTGGTCCCAAAATGGTACTAAAGGTTTTATTAAATATTTCTTAACATATTTAACTAAGGGCATTGGGATTTCATCATAGCCGGATGAATACTTATTATTTAAAGAACTTATTATTTTGTCTATTTCTTTGTCGCTGACAGGTTCACATTTAAAGTATGTCAAGTCTGGGGAAAAGTCGGTTTTAGCATTATTTAAGTTGGCAGTTTCATTTAATTTAGGTATCACATCACGATCTACAATGTTAATGAAATAATCATTGAACAAATTGCAAATTTTGTTAGGACTAGAGTAAACTTTGTTATCTACTTTAATACAGATATATTATCTACTTTATGCGTGTTTCCCACTTGCTTATTAATTATATTCTACGTTGTTTTTACTACATTAGACGAGTTATTGATTTTGTTTCGGAAATACTCTTTTTTAGCATTGTTAATTTTCTTTCTAAGGGTTTTATTTTTTAGTTTAGCATCATTTACAGTATTTGTATTTTTAAGCAGTCTGCCCTTGGTATGAAGCTGGATGATTTGATCTTTTTCGTTTTTTAAAGTGTCATTATACCAGCGACACTTGTTGTCAATACTTTCTCTAATTTTGACCACTGGAAAACATTCGTTAAAATATAAAATTATTATATTTATAAATACATCATATTTTTGTTCTACCGGAGATTGAAACACTTCCAGCCAGGTTTCATTTTTTAGTCTATCTAAAAACAAATTCTTATTACTTTCACAAAACTGTCTACCATATTTAGTTATAAGCTTACTCCTAAATGTATTTTTAGATTTCTTATAAAAAATCTCTAACAATTGACCATCATGATCTGATAACATAGCATTAATACCAGTAACTCTTGTGATGTTTTTATCAAAATTTATGAGTATGTTGTCTATGGCTGTACATGATGTTTCTGTTATTCTAGTTGGAAAATCAACTAGATATTGCACATTATAAGCTTTTATTGTGTCACATAGCTGATCATAGTCGTTATCATGTTCCAATACATTATTTATATTTATGTCACCAGCTATAACTACTCTCTTATATTTTTTACATACAATCTTTAAGGCTGCATCAAGTTTGTTACAAAAATTGTTTACATTGGTGCATGGAGATCTATAAATTCCAATTAGGAGAAATCTAAAAGAGTCAAACAAAAATTCTGCTGATGAAAATTCAAACTCCTTTTCATAAATTAAATCATTTAGTTCCTGTAACCTAATTACTCTATGTTTTATAAATTTTTTAGAGAGAATAACAACACCTCCTCCACTATATTTTTCTCTGGCATAAGCTGAGACAACGTGGTAATTCTCTAAATTTAATCTCGTTAAATCTCATCAGTTTTCATCTTGTGTTCACACAGTACAATTATGTCAGGATTTAATTCGGATACTGTGATTTCTAATGCTTCTAACCTAGATGGCAAATGTAAAATATTTTGGAAAAAGATTTTTATATAATTTTGACTAACAGGTATGCTGTGATTATGTGCTATGTTTTTTGTGTTGTTGTCTCTTTGAATATTAAAAAATAATTGTTAGATTCAAATTTACTATGAACAGGAGTGCTAATTTGTTTGCTTAAATCTAAGTTTATGCTAGGATGTACATTGTTTGGAATTTTTTCAACAGGACTATTTCTTAAAGTAAGGCACTGAACATTTTTAGGATCACCATTGCTCTGCTTTTCACTTAACTTCACCACCTCACTATACTGTAGCTGGCCAGGAACCACAGGAGGGTCGTTTTGCAGTTTGTAATGACAAGTTTGTAATGATGAAATATTAATAAATAACTTCTTGATCAGCATTGTACGTGTTATTAAATTTACGGAAAGTAAATAAAAGAAACGTCTTATAACACTTAAAACATATATTTACGCTTATACTGTTACTCACAAGACAGTAAATATACAAAAAAGATGGTAAGTGGTGATCGATTTCGATTGGACACTCCAATCATCATCAGACCCAATAGGCGAATGATTAGTATCATTCCGGTCCTTTTTTGTATATTTACCGTCTTGTGAGTAACAGTATAAGCGTAAATATATGTTTTAAGTGTTATAAGACGTTTCTTTTATTTACTTTCCGGAAATATTAATATCAGTGTTGTGAATAATATTATTCTAGTCTAGAAAACAATAACCCTAAATTAAAACGTTCAACTTGGTTGATAATAAACTTATACATACAATACAATTGTTAACCTTCATCTTCATCAATTGGTGAGTCGGTGGCTCAGTCGGTAGCGTCGCGGACTTCGGGCCCAAGGCAGCAGTGTCGTGGGTTCGGATCCTGGTCACTGCCACTAACTTTTATCAGTACAGTTCACCTTTGTACTGTACCGGCTCACCCCTTGCTTTGCTGGATACGTTCCACGCACAGATCTGTAGTCTATGTGGACGGGCAAATGCAAGGTTAAAAGAGGCCGCCAACCTCTTTTAAAAAAAAAAAAAAAAAAAAAAAAAACTAGAACTTAAGAAAAAATCAAACTTAGACATGAAAGTCAAACATCAAATTTTAGGTTATGTTTTGTCGTTTTGTCCACGTAGATCTGTTTCAGAGTGATTAGTTGATTCATTTTTGTAAATCCTTAATTTTTTTAAATATATTCAGAGAATAAATATTCCATTTAGGTTATTAAAAAATAAGAGTTTTAAAGGTAATTGCTTATTAGCAAGTACTCTGGTCAGTTAGCCTGCTCCAAATACCACAAAATAAGGTATAAAATATATTTCATGTGACTGACGTGAAAAATATTTTTGAATTTCTTGTAAACACTAACAAACAACATAATTGAACAGAAGAGCTACATTGCTTGCACTTTCGAAATTCAAACTCGCAGTCTCGCAGACGAATCATTCAGAATCATCAACACAGGACAGGATCAAGGTAGCCGACATAAGTCCAATAAGGAACAAAATATCTCGTAAACAAAATTCCAACAAGCTATACCGCTAATTGATTATTGATTTCTTAAAATAAGGTGTGTTTAGCCTTGTTTAATCAAAGTTAAATGAAATCAAAGAAGTGTCAAGTTTATTTGTCCAAGTCAAAGAAATGTTTATCTTTGATGGATTTTCACAAATATTTAAATTTTGTTTTGTTTAAAAATATGTTTTTCTTGTATCTGACTTCCCAACTGTCCCTGTAAGGAAATTCCCAACTTTTCTCTTTCCCAGATTCTAGGGGGGGGGAGCCTCCCCCCCTACCCCCCCCCCAAAGGCGACGCCCCTGAGTATACGCCCTGAATTACTAATGTTTTATGTTTGGTTTTTAGAGAAGTGTATGCGAAATTTGGAAATGATATAGATATTAAGTTGGAATGGTATTTATGGTCCAGGAAGAATTTTGTGATACAGTAGTTGTTTGTACGTGGTCATGCAACCCATCTCAATGACCATGGTGATTTCCCAATTGAGTGAGATAGACACGTGCTTTAGACAACGGTTCTTTATTGCGGTGACTTAAGTTTAGACAGATCTTCTTACCAGTGGTACCTTATGTCATTATGTGACTTTAGATATAAAGTCAATGCTTATATGTGAGCAGGAGTGGGACGTTATGAGCAATGCGTTAGGTCTTTCACAGCATTGCATGAGATCAAGCAACTCACACAAAGAAATAATATGACATTTTTGGCATTTAAACAAGAATTCATGGCTTTTCCTTAGCGTCTCGGGTATGGGACGCAGGAAACTCACCCAGAATTTTGATACAATATAATTGAGATACCACAAAATCCAATTGTTTCAGTCAATTCTGTTGCTAATATTTACGGGAACTTGTACCTATGCAATCCTTAAGAGCAAAGACATAATTGACCATACCATTTTGTGTTCAAAAAATGAAGACTGCTACGAAATTAATAGTGTAGCGCAGTTATGGACAATATTCCTGGCCAGTGCCAACAATATTTAAGCAGCGATAAGGAACTTACGGAAAGCGGCGCTGGGCAAAATAGTTAGCTACCCGAATTTTGTAACAGCGCCTCTCTGTTAGCTGTCTACCACCTCATATACTCAAGCATAAGAAGAACGTCATTGTTATGTAAATCAGAAATCTTGAATTGTCGTCAGGCTTGATTAAAAGATGTATGCGTGTTAAAAGAATGAATCAAGTGTGAGGTATAGGAGCTCATCAGTCATCATCGGGATTTAACCCTATCAGGCTCATCGTCTGGCAAGTAAATACTGATTCCTCTGATCATACTGCAGCTATTTAATTCTCTCCTCCCTTTTACTCTTGAAATATTTGTTCCCAGTTATTCCTTCGTTTGCCACGAACATCAGCAAATCTCAAGGACAGTTTGAACTCATAGGCTTTCCACCATCCTCACCTCTATACTAACAAAACCAAAATACCCAAAAATGCCGAATAAAAATATCATTACAAAGTTTTGCCTTCCCTGTCTCTAGATTGTGAACGATTCCGTGCGCTAGGTTACCTAGTTAATCTATAAGTTTTGTTTCATATTTAATTTAAAAACAATAGTGTGATAAAGAGAATCTAAGAATATTAAACACATCCAATTTGTTTGAATCAAGTATTTGTCATTACTTTTACAATTTGTTGGGTTGGTTTTTCACTTGGTGGACTTTTCCTTAAGCAAGACCTCATTTGACTTAAAATGAAACACACAAAATATAATAGGCTACAGTTAGTTTGAAGATTATCAGAGGAGTAAATATGTCAAAGGCTAAAAGTTATCTTGAGAGATTATTTGTTTTTTGTAGTGTAGTGTGTTAGTCTCATAACCCCATACCGCACTAAACTTAACTGATAGGTACATTAAGCAGCAATATTTGTTTTGTCTGCCAAGTGTTAAAACATTGTATGACACCAAATTATGATTGCATAGGAAATTTAAAAGGTATGTACTGAACAATTTTATTAGCCCTTGTAACTATATACAATTTTTAATATTTGTTACATCCAGGGTTATTACAAGCCCAGTGTTATTGTTAGATTCATTAAGGGTGCAACACAGTAACTATTCACCATGCTTTTTTATGAGGAAGAGCTTCAAATGGTGTTATTTTAAAATGAGGTTTTGAAATTTCATATCTTTAGTTCCAATCATGTATTGGAATAATCCATATAGTAGGCAAGTATTATTGCAATTTAGGTTACTTTTCTAAAAAGACGCAAGGAGTTCTGGGTCCGGGTAAATTTATACTCAGGACTCTTAAAAACCCAAACTCCACATTAAATTTTTGCTGTTAACAGTATTAACATAGTTGAATATTTAATAATTAAGATGTAGGAATTGAAACCACCCAATTTTTTGTGCTACTAAATTAATACTTCCATTTGTATTTAAGGATAAAAATGAAGTTTTTCATCTTCGTATTGATGATAAGCTTGGGAAGAAACAGAGCCGTACCGATAGATGATTTGGACCTGGATGCACTGATAACAAGCACATTCGACACAGATTCACGTTCATTGACGACCCCCTCTCCATCAGACTCCTTCGGAATCCTTCAGCAGACTCCAGTGGTGGGTGATGGGGATTGTGAATGTGTTCCCTACTATCAATGTAGTGCCAACAGGACTTTCATAGAGGATGGAGAGGGAATAATTGACATCCGGTAATATATAGTCAATGTTCTACTATTACTACCTCATAAGAACACTAGTAAATAACAACATACTAACATACAATAATACCATAATCAACGTAAATTGACGACAATGTCTCTTTTACCTTCACCTGGTTAAGGGTGAATTACAAATAATAGTTTTACTTTAGATTAAAAAATATTCAGCCCTGCTGAAAGCCCTTTTTATGATGTGTATTTAGAGCCAGTAAGGTATTAAATGGGTTAAGAAATAAGAAGTGTAAATCACAACAGTGACATAGCCAGGTTCTGAGCAGAAACGGCTCAAACCTCCCCCCCCCTCAAGAATAATCTTGAGTCTACATCTTGAGTTGATGTATAAACATCAACTTACTTTATACAGCAGAAATCTCCTTAATAATCATTGCACATTAACTTGTTGAAATGAAAATGAAAAGAAACTATTTATTTCAAACTACACACTTAAAAAACACAACTACCTACTTTCAGAAAACACCATAATTTCACAATAAATTACAAACATCTTAGTAGGATATATATTTCGACACTCCAGGATGCCTCTTTAGACTGACAGCCTCAACAAATTTGTAAAAAGGGAAACATAAGGATGACTCAAATTATAGGCTGTTATAGGTCGGCCGCTTACAAAACGGCCTGCTCGAAATTTTTAGCGCATGTAGGGGAGGTAACGACGAGGGAGGGTATGTTCCCGCTCTCCGCCAATGGCCGTTTTCACACCGCACGACACGACACTGACACGGCGCCACCCCGGTGTCATGGGAGTTGGAATCCTGTGTTACCAAATGGAACTGCTTACACAATGATATAACATTTCATGATGCTCAAATATTGATGCAATTTAGGCTATACAATATTTTTTGCAGGACTTATTTTTCTCAAGTTATGAAGAACGTAATTGTTTACATTTTGATCAGCTGTATAGTCCATGCTGCAGCAGAGTAGGGGAAGAGCCATAGTCTGTCTCACTCCCACAGCTCGGTATCTCTCTCTTGCACCAGACGCTTTCTAACTGGCTGACCTAGTTTAAAAATTTTAAACAAAGACTATTGTTACCTTTCTATTTACTCTATATTCTTTTTTTCACAGTCCCAGGACTAATGGTGAAGGTAAAGGTTTCACTGTGGTCAAGGTTAGTGGTTTCGTACAGATCATTCACTAAAAAAAGGAAGGTTAAGTAAGGACCTTAATTGACAAAGCTTAATTTGATCACAGAAAAAGTTGAGTATTCATTTTAATATATACAGTCACATAGTATGATATATTTATTGATGTACCAGGGTGAAGGCAGGGTGTGAAAGCTATATAGAGGTTTGCTGTGGAGGTACAGAGAAGACTGACTATCCCATCACCCCAACCCCTCCAACAATAAAACCTAGCTACGATGTCTGTGGAGTACGCAACTCACAGGGCGTCAGGTAAGATAAACTTTGAAAAAAATATTATTTTTCTACAGTCACCCGACAAAGTTGGCTTCCTTGTACTGTTTATAGTACAGAAAGCTGCTAATTGCTGCATATTTATCCTTTGTCGTACGGTTTATACTTTGGCACACATCAGAATTCCAACGAAACAACACAAAACAGCGTGGTTCTATTATGCACATAATCCGTGTACGCTTGGAAATAGGTTGGCAACACTTAAAGATAATAATACTATGAGCAGCTGATTGACTATTATAACTACGATTTAACCTGTCATTTCGTGTTTATAGTTTATGTTCTCTTTTCGGTATTTTTGAACTTTCTGGACTTTTCTTTTAAACGTTTTTAAAACATTCCTACGATCTTAATAAACAAGAAAATACCTTAAAGCATTTTTTAGGAGCGGAAATCACTGCAAATTACAAAAATATACGGAACTATTTTCTCAAGTCGCGGAGCACATTGCTTGCCGAGGAAAAAATAGCGGAGTCATACGGACCGGGGACTACTTTCTCTAGGGCACCTATTTGTGTTGCCAGCTGAACTTAAAAACGTGTTGTATAGTGTTTGAAAGACTAATTATTTATATGCTTTATAGTGACTGTAGGAAAAATATAATGTGTAACGCGAGTGCAAAAGGCCTTTGCTGCACTCGAGATCATTGCAAATGTTGCTCTCGTGTGCAGCAAAGTGCCACTTTGCTTACTAGTTACACAAATAACTATTTGGTAATGCAAAGTCCTTATGAGAACTTCAGTTAATATTCTTAATATTTCAAATTTGTTATAGGAATTAGCTCCATTTATTACTGGGAAAATATCTATGCTGTAGTCAATTTGATTTTTTACCTCAAAAGGGGGTACAACAAATTTGGAACCAATTAACACATTTCTGGTGTGGTGTAGTAAGTTTAACAGACAAGTTAAAAAGTCACAAACTCTCTTTTTTGATGACAAAACATCTTATTTTGATGTATCCATGTTGAAATTTCTCTCTCCCCAGTTGAAGTGTTTTTCGCTTTTAGCGAATTTTGCTATAAGGAAGTAGCTATTACCGTAGGTGGTAAGACTGAGACCCGGGACCGATATATTTTTCATTTTGATGTCCCTAGAGGCCAAAAACACTATTCGTTCAAATTTTGATGCATGTATATACACAAGGGTGTTAAAAAAGGTCATATTTTAGCTTGTGATTCCTTGTGTCAAAATAAAGAGAAAATCAAGAATAACATTTTTTCCAAAATCGCTTTGTTAACCAGATATCCCCCATTTTGTATTTTTTACATAAACATTTTATATTAGAATTTTTTCAACCGATCTTTATCAAAATTGGTATGTATGTTAAGATAGAAGAGACCCATGTTAGGAAGAAAAATCATTTTGATTAGACTTAAAACCTAAATATGGTGGCCATTTTAATTTTTAACCTTAAATTACTCAAAAATATCTCCTGATTTTATGAAAAAATGTCATGAATACTTTTATTTATCATTTTTAGTTCCCTATCAAACTATACCAAGTTTAAGAAGATAGAATTATAAATAGCTGAACTATTAAGATTTTTTTTGTATAATGGGGCAAAACAGACTATCTTAGCCTTATTCTACCCAATATCCTATACTCTAATATGAGAAATGTTGCTTGTATGCTTGCTTGTTTGCTTGCTTGCACAAAGATCTAGAAAACGGCTCCGACGATTTTCTTCAAATGTTGTAAATAGTGTATTCCTAGCCTGAAAACAAGTTTACTGCAGTTAGAACTGCCAACAAAAATCTAATTATGTAGAAAAATAAAACTGAAAGTCACATTTTTTAATATTAGTCTTATACTATACTGCCAGCACCAGTGGTGTGGAAGCGAAGGTATTAGCAAGGGTTGCGCTGGTACTTTCCCGTAGTGTAGGGGGGGAAACGCCTTTTCGGCGGGCTTGGCGCTGATAAGGTAGGCTAAAGTCAGACAACCCAAACCCGGTCCTCCAAGGGTATGTGGGGGTTGAGCGTCGGGCCAACAACTCACCTCGGAAAACAACAAAGTTCAGAAACACCAACACAAAGCCTCGGAGAATGGACGGAATAAAAGGAATCGACACTGGCGATAACAAATGACAATAAGATTAGGCACATGGAATACAAGAACATTGGCAGTACCCGGCACAATCGACATTCTCTCAGAAGAACTTAGTATATATAAAATGGATTTGGTGGCACTACAAGAAACCCATTGGCAGGAAAGCTGAACACCAAAGACTATGTAATCTACTACAGTGGAAATGATGAAGGAAGGTACCAAAGATGAGTAGGCTTTGCTGTAAGCAAAAAGATAGCAAGTGCTGTGATAAGTTTTGAAGCCCTAGGCGAGAGACTGTGCAATATTAGGTTTAAAGGTATATTCAAGAATATATCAATAATGAGTGCCTACGCTCCTACAGAGGACACAGACGATGACATCAAAGACGCTTTTTATGAGCTGTTAGAAGAAGAGTGGGGAAAGTTACAAGGATATGACACAAAATTACTGATGGGAGATTTTAACGCAAAGATAGACAGAGAACAAATATGGAAGGAAGATGCAGGACTAAATAGTTTACACACAGACAGCAATGATAATGGAGTAAGGCTACTAAGCCTAGCTACTGCTTGCAACCTGAAAGTTATGAGCACATATTTCCCGAGAAAAGACATCCACAAAACTACATGGATCTCACCAAATGGTCAGGTAAAAAATCAAATAGATCACATATTAATAGACTGTAGACATTCTAGTCATGTACAAAACGTACGTAGCATAAGAAAAGCAGAGTGTGGGTCAGACCACAGCCTAGTTCTAGTCAAATTATACCAAAGAATACAAATAGAGAAGAGGAAAGGAGTACCATCAGTAGAAAATATAGATATTGATAGACTAAGAGATAAAAGAACCCGGACCGAATTTAAGCTTAAATTGTCATGCCGTTTCCAAGCTTTAGACACAGTGGAGGAAGAGGCAGAAGTGGAGGACTCAATAGAAAAGAGATGGGAAAATATAAAGAAGACCGTACGAGAATGTACCAAAGAAGTTTGTGGCAAAAAAGAAAGAAAAAACAATAAACCTTGGTTTGATAAAGAATGCAAAGAGGCAGTTTTGAAAAGAAGACAAGCAAAGGGAAATTGGCTAAGAAACAAACAAGATATAGATCGAGATAGATACCAAGAGCAAAGCAAGGAAACAGTTAAACTATTAAGAAAGAAAAAACGAGAATGGATCAATAATATTCTGGAAAAAGCAGAACAAGATCGAACAGCAAACAACTCAAGAGAATTTTATCGTGCATTAAGATTTTTCAAAAAAGGATACACACCTTCACCTATGGGGATCAAAAATAAAATGGGACAAGTTGTAATCCAAAAGGAAGACGGACTAAGAGTTTGGCGAGAATATTTCAAAAAGCTACTAAATGGTGACCTGCAGCAGGAAGAGGAAGAACAGGAAGAAGTCTATCAGACTGTACACCCCTGGATTCCAGAACCACCCATACAAGAAATAGAAGAAGCAATCAAGAGCTTAAAAAATAATAAAGCCCCAGGAGAGGATGGTATAACTGCAGAGATTTTAAAAGTAGGTGGCTTTTGTCTAGCAGAAAGAATCCACAAACTAATACTCAAGGTCTGGAGAGAAGAAACAATACCCAAGGAATGGAAGGAAGCCCTAGTTGTACCAATTCACAAAAAAGGAGACAAAAAAGACTGCAATAACTACAGAGGCATATCTCTCCTAAATGTCACCTACAAAATACTTTCCAAAATAGTTCAGAGAAGACTAGAGGAATACACAACAGATATTGTTGGAGAGCATCAAGCAGGATTCAGCAGAGGCAGATCAACGACGGATCAAATCTACATTCTTAAAGAGTCAATAGCAAAGTATTATGAATTCAACAAATCATTCTGTTGCCTCTTCATTGATTTTTCAAAGGCTTATGACTCCATAAATAGAAAGAAGTTGTGGATAAACATGGAGCATCTAGGTATACCAAAAAAACTTACAGAACTAGCAAAATTGAGTGTTTTAGGTTCTAAGTGCAAAGTTAGAGTAAATGGAGACGTATCGGAAGACTTTGAGGTGAACACGGGTGTGAGGCAGGGAGACGGGGTATCTCCATTGCTGTTCAATTTAGCCATAGAAACAGCCCTTCAGGAGATAAGAAAGATAGAAGTAGGGATTAAGATAGGAACAAACATAAACTTGCTAGCTTTTGCAGATGACATAGTATTAATTACACATAATATAGAAGAAATGAAAGATGTAACAAAAATGCTTATTGAACATACAAGAAAAATGGGGCTATACATAAATGAAGAGAAAACCAAGTTCATGACATGTGGAAGAAAACAAGATGATGACCAACCAAGATACCAAAATAACAACTACATTGAAATTGAAGATTATAAATTTAAGATAGTAACAAATTTCAGGTATTTGGGAGTCATCCTCACTAGCGATAATGATGAAGAGCTAGAAATACAAAATAGATTAAACCTAGCACAAAAAAGTTTTTCGGCCTGTCACAAGATACTAACTTCAAAAATAATATCCCACACCACCAAACTCAGGATTTATAAGACAATCATCAGACCAGTTCTCCTGTATGGTTCAGAAAATTGGATCTTAGCAAGAAATCAGAAAGGAAAGCTATTGTATTTGAGAACAAGATTTTGAGGAAAGTGTACGGACCGATTTTTAAGGATGGACAATGGAGATCGAGACATAATTGGGAACTAAGAGAATTATTTAAGGATCCAGATATTGTCGCTGAGGTACGGAGCAGAAGACTGAGATGGGCAGGGCATATTCTGAGAAAAGATGACAACTCCCTATCAAAGAACATCTTGAGGAATAACCCAGAAGGTAGAAGAGCCCTTGGAAGACCGAAACTTGGATGGTTCGACCAAGTGGAGAAAGACCTGAGGAAGCTAGGGAGAAGGAAGGAAGATGCAAGAAGCAGAGACCTATGGAGGCAGTGTGTTGGGGAGGCCAAGTACCATCTAGGGTACCAGTGGCCACAGCAGTAAGTAAGTAAGTAAGTCTTATGGGTTGCTTAGTAACCATATTGGTTGAATTAAATAACAAGGAAAAAGTAAACAAAAGACTTGTAAGCTAACACATGTTCATAAAGGCTCTATCTACCCACAGTATACTAGAAATTACAAAATACAGTAATATATAATATACAAAAGCAAAAACATCACTTGTTACTATTGAGCAATGATTATACTGAAGCTTACTCGATACATTGTAGTAAAGGCTAAGTTAGCAGTGCGGAGTGTGGGATCTGTTATGACGATTAGATTAAGGTAGATTTCCCATCCTTATGGAACAGCTAAAGCCAATTTTATTGTTAACTTAGTTCTGTCCGGTTTTCTGTAGATGTCGTGCTTTGTTTACAATTTGTTTCTTGTTATTTCAGTAATTTAAAACCTCGTTTAACCAAATAATCTATATATTAATTTGAAACTGTTTTTCTTTGTGACAGCTATTTTGAGAGAACGTCTGGGCGTAGAAACTCGGTAGAGGTGTCTAAAGAAAGGTCCTGGTCTGTAGATGAGCCATCAAAAGAGAAACAAGGAGAATTCCCTCGGGGCTCTGCCCCAGTGGCCTTTAAATTCCCATGCCATGTTATTCTTATGGAGGAAAACGAGGTTTTTGTCACAGCTAATTTGAGAGAACGGCTGGGCGTAGAAACTTGGTAGGGGTGTCTAAAGAAAGGTATTGGTCTGTAGGTGAGCCCTCAAAAGAGAAACGAGGTAAATTTCGTTGGGGCTCTGCCCCAGAGGCCTTTAAAGTTCACTCTGCAATGTTGTTTACATTTCGACCATATGGATAATTTTACACTACTTTTAATGAACCAGCTGTTAATATTAAAATTGTATTCAAAGGTCTACTGAAACTGTCAAAATTAAATGTTTACATTATTATTTATGATTTTAAATGGATTCTCCACTGCATGGCAAGTTTTTTATAGTTTCACCAAAATGATAAATTTATGATACGTTTTAAATGTTTTGTTCAAAAATCAATGCTTTATTGCCCTTAGAAAATTTTGGGTTGAAAATTGTGTCATAGATGAGTACGTTGAGGATGAGAGCTGTGTTCAAGTTTTGGAATAGACTAACTACGGAGTCTATGGTTTTGGTAAAGTAGGTGAACTAATGCCAATTCAGGTATTTAAAAAAAATGTGTACACAGTTTTTACTTTGATGTACACATGTAGCTAGGTCGAACAACGCATCTAAACCTCACTACATACAAAACATTCGGAAACACAACAGTGTCATCACATCTCATCGCATTTGCATAATTTGTTACCAAGGCTGGACTAGGTTATGGATTTGGTTCCGCAAATGTTCAAGATTTGTGATAAAATTTCCTACAATTATGGTTCATTCCAATCCACGAAATACATGCACAGCGTTGTGTGATCTATATGGCCAAGGCAAAACTACCCCACAAGTTAATGAATTATCAAGTTAGAACAGGATGATTAAATACATGGGTCGATGTGGCAAGAGAAGGAATTAAAATTGCTGAGATCGAAGTAAGAATGTTACTGCTTTCTGGAGAATCAGATATTTTTATCAAACAAAAAAAAAACTGATTTAATATGCTGATAGAGTTCTGTATTTTTATGGACAAAGATGATGATAACTTATAAAACCGGATACAATCTGAATGATTTTCCTAAAGCAGATGGAATTAGTGGTTAGTAATAAATATTGACTCTTTCCGTAACATGATAGACTAATTATATGAACTCATTCTCCCATATAGTGAAAGTGGCTTTGGTATGAAACAAACTCATGAACAAACAATTATAAGACTCCCAAAAAACCTTTTGGGCAACCTAAAGCCGATAAAAAGATAGGAAATATTGTGTTAAACGAATTCATCAATCACGTTTTTTAGGGAACACAATTGTCATACTTATTATTGCGTATCCTCCCTCCATTTAACTAAGATTCTAATGACTTCACTCTATCCATCGCAGTTAGCTGAATTTACATATAAAACCTCAAGATTAACCGTCGATTTCGACGGGGTTCCACTAGTACTATTTAATCATAAACAATAACTCATTCGCTATATTACCGTACTATATTACTATCGTTGGCTATATAACCAAACGGTGAGACACAAATAATGAGAAACTAACCCTAAAATAATAGAAATAAATTGTAAACAAAACACGACATCTACAGAAAACCAGACAGAACTAACAATAAAAGTGGCTTCAGCTGTTCCATAAAGATGGTAAGGTATTTGCAATCCTAAAATGCTATGGGAAGGTAAGGAAACAGGTCCGCGACGTAGGAAGTGGTGAAGGAAGTAGTCAATGCGAGCTATCCTGAGTGCGGGAACTGTTTATGACGATTAGATTAAGGTATATACAACCCTAAAATGCTATGGGAAGGGAGGGAAACAGAGGTCGGCGACGTAGGAAGTGGTGAAGGAAGTAGTAAAGGCGAGTAGTCCGGAGTGTGGTAACTGTTTATGAAACAGTCTGGCTGGATTAGATTAAGGTATCTGCAATCCTAAAATGCTATGGGAAGGGAGGGAAACAGGTCCGCGATGTAGGAAGTGGTGAAGGAAGTAGTAAAGGTGAGCGGTCCAAAGTGTGGGAACTGTTTATGACGATTAGATTAAGGTATCTACAATCCTAAAATGCTATGGGAAGGGAGGGAAACAGGTCCGGGACGTAGGAAGTGGTAAAGGAAGTAGTCAAGGCGAGCAGTCCAGAGTGTGGGAACTGTTTACGAGGATTAGATTAAGGTATCTGCAATCTTAAAATGCAATGGGAAGGGAGGGAAACAGGTCCGCGATGTAGGAAGAGGTGAAGGAAGTAGTAAAGGCGAGCAGTGTGGAGTCTGGGAACTGGAAACCAATTGTAACAGTTACCTAGATTTATGTATCTGCAATTGAAATACTGAAATGCTATGAGAAGGGATGGAAACATGTCCATGACGTAGGAAATGGTGAAGGAAGTAGTAAAGGCTGGCATCGCAGAGTGGGGTCCCCAGGTACATGTAAAAATGTAATATTTCAGCAATTTCTTATTCAATCTTTTTGAGCTTGGTACCGTTTGATAGGGAATAAATAATGACAAATAAAAGTGTACTTGACATTTTTTCATAAAATCAGCCGTTTTTTTGTATTTTAAGTTTAAAAAATTTAAATGGTCAAGATTTTAAAATTTTAAGATTAATCAAGATGATTTTTTTTTTACATGGGTCTCTTCTACCTTAACATACATACCAAGTTTCATAAAGATCGGTCGAACAAATTCAAAGATAAAAATGTTTATGTAGAAAATACAAAATGTCTTGGCTACTCAGACAGTAGGTTATAAGGACTTCTGTAAAATAATATGTATGCAACCTGTTTACGGATCAACCTGATTCTATCAACACATTTAGGCCTAATTTGTATTGTTAAAAAATTACACCTAGCCTATAGTTACAGGAAGTAATTTTGCTTAACTTACCTAACTTGTAAATGCCTTGTGCTTCAATTATTTTCTTTTAAAGTAGTGTGTACTATCATCAATGGTAGTATTTTATTATAGGCATATAAAAAAAAAACAATTTATCTGTTAGTGCCATGCAAGAGGCATTTTGTATTAGATTTTCAAGACCCCTTTTAATAGAAAAAAATCAAATAAAATTTTATTGAATATGCTGGAGATTAAACACATCACTGTTGGACCGAAGTCGAAAATTCTATGCTATTAATATAAATAATAATGTGATTACCAACTCATTAAAATGTAGGCCTATGACTCATTAAAACTTGAACTAAAAATGTGATCCCAAAACGTATTCTATAAATTGATGTTGATCTGACTTTCCTCTGGTCGTAGCTCACTGCGTATTACTGGTGACGTTGACAATGAGGCTCAGTTTGGAGAGTTTCCATGGATGGTTGCGTTGACCAGTCTCCAGGAAGTGGAAGGCAGCAGTATTGGTACTCTTGTCAGAGTGTACCAGTGTGGAGGCTCGCTGCTCAGTCCCACTGTGGTGCTCACTGCTGCTCACTGTGTCGCCAAGTACATATATTTACCTTACACAAGTAACTTTTAGAGTGCTCTGGTATTTGCCAACTTATTATATTAATTGATAAATAATATTTTTATCTTTTTTACAAAATATGTTGATATTTAAACATGACAACTTACATAAATAGCCTTGTATCCGAAAAATAAAAGAGGAAAGTAGAATTCAAAATATAATGGTACTGTGAGAAATCTGGATGTTCTCTAAGATATATTTTATCACATTGAAAATAAATTTTATTTATGTGCATTATTCCAATGTTGGATTTTTTTCCTATTCAATGTTGGGTAGTGTGCATTACAATGTCAAGTAAATGTAAAATTTCACTAAACTCTTCAGAAAATATAATTGCTAGAACGTTGGAGGGGATTTCAAAATTTTTAGTCTCATTTTAACCGTCTCTATTGATATTATTTAAACATTTTGTGAACGATAGACATTGCAACAACATTTGATCAACTTTAATTTGTTCCATTAGGCCAACGAGAATTTTGTGATGCAGCCCAAGGCTCCACTAGAAAAACAGGCCATGCTGCAGCACGGGCAGCGCAACACTACGTCACAGTGGTGGATAGTTGTAGTGTACTAAAATCTTCCCATTAAAATCTTACAAACAGCCAGCTTGTTTATTTACCTAAAACATATGGGAATGGCGATAGCAATGAATTTATCAATGAAATCTATCCACTAGTGTGACGTCATGGATCCTGCAGAATGGCCTGTTTTTTCCAGTGGGGCCTTGTGCTGCCATGCATGATGACCATATTTAAGGTGTCATTGGATGGGTCGTGGCATCTAGATTTTCCATCAAACAAAAAATGTTTGAAATTCCATCAGGGCTCTACCCCAGTGGCCTTCAAAATTCCTAGGTTATTCTTAGGGAGAAAATGTTTGTTTACATTTGAACAGATGAATACTTTAAAATTTACACTAATATTTGAAACAGCTGGTTATACTAAAATTGAAATTAATGGAATCATGAGCTATAAGGATTTACAAGCTGCTATACCCGTGCTTTGCAACGGGAAGATAATGTGACCTAGAGAGCTATTAAAGAGGTGCTGATGTGTGTTTTAAAATACAGCAACTCTATGATTTTGTTTGAAAATATAAACTGATTTAAAAGCGTAAACCTACTTACTTTCAAACCCCTACTTTTGATGTTAATAGATCCATAAGAATATGACAACATACCTTCGTGTAGCAATAGCATCGATTGCTTCATATTGATGCTTCATGAATTACGTTTTACCATAAAATTCTTCAGTTTTAGTCAAGCCTCTTCTCATGTAGCTTACTATATCAATTAAAAAATGAAACTTTGAGCAATACTTTACAAAACGTATAGAACCTCACTTTAAAACCAAACATAACCCTCCTCAATCTACATAAAGCGTCACAAACAGCTGTTTTGAATAAATAAACAAACACCAGTTCATTGTAGGTACTGACCAGCTGTTTCGTTAACTAAATTAAATTAAATCATTTAAACATTGGAAGCATACCAGGCGTAGCCCTTTGGAAATAAGCCTGTGGGGCAGAGCCCTTAGGAAAGTCGTCCATATCAATACTTTTCGGCAAATCTACACACACTAGATTCGTTTTGATGTGCCATATACCTACATTTGTATTTGGTAAATGACGTTAACCGTTTACATAAAATTGGATTGTATCACTTTAATAATATAATAGATTAGATTTGTTGAAAAGATAATAAACGGTAGGTATCAGCAATCTTACACATACTTTTTCCTATAGGCTTGTCAACAACCTTTATCATGGGTAAGCGGTGGGCTTCTTTCACACCAGCGCGGTGCGGGCCCTTTCACACTAGCTGCTTGGATCCAGGCGTTTCCAGGCTGAAACTTTGTCATTTTTGGATGAATTTCATTCAAATAAATAAAAGAAAGGTGGTTATGCTACTTGTTGTATCCGAAAATAAAATACTGCCCCCCATACCTTAATTGGATCGATGCCGTGTGTGTAAAAATGTCAATTCATTGTATTTTTAAAAGTTATGGTGACAGCTGTGGATGGTAAACATACAAATGAAAGATGCTTTGCTGCAGTGGGGGTCTCGTCCTACACACTGGCCTTCAAACTAAACCAAAATAATAAGCTTGACCAAACTAATCGGCTCTATATAAATTTCAACCTCCCTACCAAAAACAACAAACTTCCCTATTAAGTTACTACAAAATCAACCACACTCAACGACTGATAGATGAAGACTGTCGAAAATACTGATTTATGTGCGGGCGAAACCAGCCCGTCCCGCGCAAGTGTGAAAGCGTACATAAGAGCCCATGATCTAAAAACTATTCATGCGGTTTCGTCCCGCATTGGAAGTTTAGGTTTGTGCGGGTGATTTTTCAACCCGGACAGAGGTTTAGGTCTGTCCGGGTTAACCCGCACTGGTGCGAAAGCTTCCATATGACTCAATAGTCTAAACAGTTTCGTCCGGTGTGGGACGGTCCCGCACCGCGCTGGTGTGAAAGAAGGCTAACTATTTAAAAGGAAAAAATTACAAAAGCTGCAATAACTCTTGAACCGTAATTGTAAGAGCAAGGGGGGTCACACTATTTTGTTTAGAATTATAAGCACCTTAACACATTAATTTTAATCAAAAACGGTTTTTTCCCTAAAATCTGATTGTTATTTTAAGGATTTTTATGTTTTTATGTGGTTATTGTAACTAATGTTATTTTCCATTAGTTACAATAACTTTTGAATCGTAATTTTTACAAAAATGGGATTTGTACCATTTTGTTCAAAATTTAAAGGACTATAACATACTGTACTAGTTTTAATCGAAACCGATTTTTTCTCAAATCTGATTTTTGTTATTTTATGGGAAAATGACATAATTTACAATAACCTTTGAACAGTAATTTTACGGAAATGGGTTCAGAATTTAAAGGACCATAACATACTAAACTTTTTATCAAAATCGTTCATGCCTATTTTGAGAAAATCTGATTTTTCCGTTATTTTATGGGAAAATCACCATCAAAAATCCAAATGTCAAAAAAATGAAAAAAAAACACCTGGAAATACCGTGGATTAGTACCTACATGTCAAATTTAATCAAAATCGGACCACAGGTGTGGTCTGTAGCTCTGTACAAATCCACACACACAGACATCATTTTGAAAACCACTTTTTTAGGTTCAGGAGAACCCAAAATGGATATATCCAATGGATCAAAACTTAAATTTGAAAATTTTTACAAAAACAATACTTTCTCCATATACTTTATCATTGACTATATATACCTACAGAAGACATCCCAGGCTTATGGGCCGTATATATACTTATAGGTATATATAGTCAATGATACTATGTATAGAGAAAGTAAAATTTACTCTGTTTTTGTGGTTTAAAAATTGGTGTTTCACTGCAAAAACGCGTTTATAAAGGTTCATTGAATTTAAAAGTCAACTGACAGTACAGCAGTTACACTATTTGTTGTGATTTTTAAGATCTTTGTTTTACTGAAACTAAATAACAGAATATTATATAATGAGTAGAGAATATCAATATTGAAGGAATGATAATTTTTTATCCAATTTTGTATATTGTAAGGGTTGGCACCTGCACCCTTCTGTATGATTAATTATGATAGGTGCACAAGAATAATGATCAGAAGTTATTGATATACATTTTAAACATGTTTTTCACCTCCAAAAAAATTTTTTTATTATATCGGAAGGTAGGATGGGCGGGTCCCAAACATTCTGGAAAACGCCACTGTTGTGTTAAACAGGAATCGTGATATGCCATCAAGCTTGATAAAAAAGGAATGACTATTGTACATTTTCTCCACATGTTTTTCAAAAGTGATTTCTTTACACTTATGAAAAACATGTGGAGAAAATGTGCAGAAAATGAAAATGGGAAGCATTTGATGCTGTACAAAGGGTGTGAATCCAGCAATGTTTTGCGGATGCAGGTTATGGGGTAAGGTGCTAGGAAGATAAGATTGAAAAGGATACATTAGAGTATGCAAAGAAAAGCTTTGTTGAAGGTACGGAAATCATACAACACAGTATCGCATGATAAAATTAGGGTTTTGACCGAAGCCTACTCATTGAAGAAAGGATTAGGATTTTGGAGGCCAAGGAGGCGGGTAGGACTACATCGGAAAGCAAGAGTGTCAGAAGAGCTGGAGAGATTAGATGAGTGGCAAATGTGCTGGGAGCAGATGAGAAAGAAAGGGAAACTTTCGGATATATGCCAAACATCAGAAAGAGACTGGATCCAGATTGTGAGAGTGGCCAATATTGAACACAGTTTGTCACAGGACATGGGAAATTTCAAGGTGAATTTGAATTTGTGGAGGTTTTACTTGGTGGAAGAGAAAGTATGCAGCAGCTGTGCAAAAAAATAAAAGACCACGAGTCACGTATTGATGAATTGTCTACTTCAGGAGGAAAATAGGAGAGAACAGGAAGAAGTCTTGGATAGGAAAGGTCTATACATGAGAGAATAAAACTTGCTTTTAAATTGAAAAAAGAAAGAAACAAAAACAAAGAAAGAAAAGGAATGAAAAAACTTCTCCATGAAGGGGAGAGGAAATTTTAGAGTGAATCCCAATGATCCTTATATAGCTTAGGGTGGTAGGGGGAAGGGACCATGTTGTTAGGGTTTTGGACACATAGTGTGTCTGGACGAGGTTTGAAAGTGGCCAAAACCTAAGAAGAAAGAAGATTTTTTACGGGGAATCGGCCTGGCAAATAAGTCCCAGACTTAAGCCAGGGGTGGTGGTGGGAATGAGGGGCTTTGGTTTATCATTTAGGTTACAATTAATTAATTAATCAAAAGAGAATCTTTTACTGAAAAAACGGCATCGCACATAAACTGCCAACTCAATTAGGCCTTCTACCATCTCCACCTTTAACAACAAAACCAAGAAAGCAGAAAACGCCTAATAAAAAACGCCATCCCCCCCAAACCCAGAGGCGCAATCCCCTGCCCAAGCCAAAGGAGTAGTCCCCCCCAATTTACGCTATCGTCTATTTAAACCTACCCTCCCCCCACCAATTTATCTGACAATTTTCCCATTATCTCATAAAACGAGCATTTCTAGTATTATTTAGTAAACTTGAGGTACAAAAAACAAACTTGCTGATAATCAAAATTAAATGTTTAATAGGAAACGCCATTTAACAATACATCATTATATCTAACTAGTGGTTGAATTAGAAGGTTTTTCAATTTACAATTCCGAATTTGTATTGTCAGCCAACATGTGCTCAGTATTGCAATAGACAACGTCTTCAAAACGTTCAACAATATACTCGGCGAATTACTCTACTCCAACACAGTACTGTAACTGTACAATATATTAGGGGGCGTTAATTTTTACAGGGCTTAAGAATTCAGCTTTAAGTGCATTAATAATACTTTGGCAAAAAGTATCTTGTTACAAAATTATAGGCAGAGTCACGAAATAGGACAGGCCTTCTACAAAAATCGCCGGGCAAAATACCCACAATACCTTAATTGCCACCAGTACAAAAGGTTTTTGTGACGAAGTAATCTTATAATTCATTTTGATAGCCCAGGATTGCCTTTTATGACTAATAATGGTAGGAATGCATCTTGTCAGACAATCCGTTTGTTCCGTTTGTTTTTGTTGTCCGTTGTTCAGAAAATACGAATAACGATAACAGATAGGCCTATCAATTCACGCGATTGCTTCGGGCAGGACTGGAAGTAAACTGAATCAGGTTATGACGGAAAGACGTGGTCTCTGAATTGTCGTCTGTGTTATCAAAAGCTGATATTGGGCTAACTGTAGTGACGGAGGAGAGTGTTGAAAATATAATGGGATTCATAATTAAGTTTTCCATTCAAAATTATTGACAATAAATAATAACCAATTTATATGCTGGATATAAATGATGGGTTCGAAATTCTACAGTACTGCACGAAAGGAAATTTATTAAATACTTTGAGAAGTTTGAAATATATAAATACATAAAACTGGGGACAGCACAAAATTTTTGAGTGAAAACACTTAATTAATTATGAATCCCATTAGGTATATTTTCAACACTCTTCTCAGTCACTACACTAGTCCAATATCAGGTATTGAAAACGCAGACGACAATCCAGAGACCACGTCGGTCCGTCATAACCTGAACCTGATTCAGTTTCAGTTTACTTCCAGTTCTGCCGACGGCAATGTACACGCGTGAATTGATAGGCCTATCTGTAATCGTTTCTTGTTTTGTGTTAAATGTTTGTAACGTATTCTGACGACACCTCCAGAAGGGATCTTTTGCAAATCCTGACGATGGTGGAGTTAAAGAGCCATCAAAACATATGTAGCAAGTGAAAATCGAAACTGGCATGTTAAGGATTGTCTGACAAAGTGCGTTTCTACCATTCTTAGAAGCAATCTAAATTACGAACGGCAAAATGTTGTTGGTGTTGATAGTGAGGTACTTAGAAACACTTTTGCGGGCTGCTTATACAAAATTAAAATTATACATTCATTAAGACAGCTAGCAAAAAATTCCCCCTCCCCAAAATCCCCTCAAAAAAGCCCCCCCAAAATTTTTGTGGCGCCACAGTATCCCCCCTCTGGGCACCCCTGCGATTACTTGCCTCAGGTTCGATAACATATTGAAAAAGGGCTTGCTTGCATATTTTTAGGGACAAAAATTTTATTTAAATTACTGTATTATCCTAAAACCCATTCACCAACCATTTCTCATGGTTTCACTATAACATCATTGTAAAAAGACAGACGGTTGCAATACCGGTACTTAGGTTTGAATCGAAATAGTTTTTGAATGTTGCTGAATATTTCTTACAATCCTTGTCTGGTATGAATTTGTCTTTGTAGTTCAAACAGCAAGGGCGGTCCCAAGGGGGGGGGGGTCAGGGGGGTCGTGACCCCCCCAAAATATTTTTTTTTATAGATAAACTATTATACCAGGGGAACTTTGATAATTTTTATTGCAAATCGATCTACCACATTGAAATTTGTTGTAGTCTTTACACTTGTGGTGAACCAAAGGACTAATTACAAACTCTAACCTAAAACTCGGGATCGTTCGAGTCTGACTATTTTTTGGACGTTATGAAAAGTAGGGATGATCAGCAGACGACGGACGCTTTCAGCCATTAATACGGCAAAGGCAGTGTCCGATGCCGGCGTTCGACATTCGGCTGCATTCTTCTTCTTATTAAATTTTTTGGCATTTAATGTTATCATTCATTTTAACATAGATGATTGAAAACTTGAATTGGGTATTGGATAAAGAAAAGAAGTAGTATCAAATAGTCAAAGCTTGAAAGTTAGTTGAATATTATATTTATGATATTTATCTGAGTTCAGCGTTAGGAATTTGTAATTACAGTAGGCCTAATTTAATTCAATGATTACCGTAGCAAATTTTAAAACTTTCAATATTAAATAGTTTTTTTATTTAGGGCACCTGATATCATATTTAAGAATACCACAACCCAATTGGTATGTTGCTAGCCACGAAAACAACAACAAAATGGTAATGTCCCAGACTTAGATGCGGAAGGGACGGATTTAATTCCCGGCACAACCACAAAAACTTTATTCTCACGTTGACCCCTTGTAAAATGCCACTAGCTTAGAAAAAAATGAGAACACTGAGAACCAATTCTTCAGGCGGTAGCAGTGACGGGACGCCGATGGCAACGTTAGTTGGGTAGTGTACTTTGTGTAGGTTAACTGTTGCTTACTGGGCAGGTATAATGCAGTCATGTTGAGTGCAAGTTCTTAAATACTTCTTAGATAAAATAAGTTCTCTGGTTCGAAGTCTTGGTCTGATTATGGACATTTTTTGATTAGCATGCACATCGGCACCAGTTGAAAGGGTGTTTTTGTAAATTAATAATGCTTGAATGTGTTGTAATGTTGCGGTATTCCTGTGATATAAAAACCACAAGTCTCAATAACGCAAAAACATGCATTATCCAGTGTAAGGTTATTTTAAACATTTCTTTGACCTTTAAAAAATAAACTGGGAAGCTTAAACACATTAAACTAGGTCCCCAAAATAGCTTAAAAACACTCATTTTAGCACGATATTTCCAATTTTTTCCGTGGGGGGAACCCCAGACCCCCCTCCTTTGCTGGGGGGTATGGGATTCCCCCCAGGCCCCCCGGTGACCCCCCAAAATATATGTCTAGGACCGCCCTTGAAACAGTCCTAATCAACAAATATTAATTATTAGGTACTAGTGCACCTGTTACTCGAATTCAAGCAATTGCAAAGTATTACAGGTGCTATTTTAAAACGTAACAGTCATAATTTCCGATTACTCTAAGAGTCAACTCAAAATTTAATGTAATCCATCACTCCACTACAGTTATCGAAACTGAAAACAAACTCTTGTGAGTGTATCATGTGTTTACTATGAATAGCTGTAATTAATACAAATTATTCGTCTGTATAAGTAAACAAAATCTTTCATCATAAGAAATACATTGGGGTTTCGATGGCCTGTGGGGCAAAGCCCGAGGACTTTTATTACTGGAATTGGTGAAAGGGGGCGTCTACATAAAAAATACTTAATTTTGACACATCGTTTGTTAAAATTCGTCCATTATTAACGGAGGAGTAGTGTTTCGTATAAATCGCCTTCACGTATTATAAGAATAATAATATAAGAGAATAATGATAATTAATTGTTTGGAAAAATATTATTTCTGAAAGTATAACTTATCTTGTATACATGATGTAGTAAAACTGGGCTGAGTGTGAGAGCCGGGGAGTGGGACACACAGACGGACAAAGAGCCTCTACCGATGCAGATCTCTGCTGTGAGAGATGTGGTGATACATGAACAGTACAACCCGCGATCACTGCATAATGACGTGGCCCTGCTGCTGCTGGAGAAACCCTTGGAGTTAGACCTTCACATCAGACCCATCTGTCTGCCCAGCCAGGACGAGAGCATGGACGGTCGACAGTGTGTGGTCAGCGGCTGGGGCAAAGATGTCTTCGGTAAGTAAATATTGTACCAAGGTGGCTGCATCAATTTTGTGCAAGAGTGAAGGCAAGCTGCCCATGTAGCACAGATGGTTGGGCCAACGTTGGTAAATTATTGTGGAGCCACACAGTTGGCCAACGGTAGAAATGTCACCTCTTTAAACTATTTTCCAACCAACCATTGTCCAACAATGGCCCAAACATAAAAAAATACTGATGGCCAACTATAACACAACTGATATCCAACCAACCATTTTATTTCACACAAAATAATAAAGATTTAGTAAGAAAAGCATAATTATTAGTTGAGTAAATTGATTAAATAGTTCATAAAAACAAATTTTGAAAAAGAGCTGGAACAAAATATTTTGGCCCAGACGGGTTTCGAACCCGGGTCCTTCGACTTATGAGCCTCTTACCTTACCACTGAGCTATCTGTGATTGTTGATATAGAGAGTTTTCAAGTGGCGAAAGAGTAGCCGACAGTTGCAATGGTCGCAATACTTAAAACATTTTTGGTACTACACAGTATAATATGATTCTGTTAATCTGTTAAGGCATCATAAGTAGTTATTATTTTTTTAGGGGAGTTAGAGAGGATACTGGTATTTGAATATAGATTAATTAATTACTGTTAGATTATTAATGCTATTATAATTGACTGTTATATGATTAATTACTCTTTCCCCTTAAATTGTTGCAAATAAGTTAAAGAATATTAATTTAAAAAATATTTGCATTATTATAAATGTTGTGAAAGCTAGACCCAGAGAATGAAAGTCGTGTAAACTCAACTATGGACCATCGTTGGTCCAACAAAAGTAGCTTTTGTTGGTCCAACGGAGTGAAAAACGGTTGGACAACGGTTGGCTTGATGTATGATACCCAGCAATGCATATTAATGTATTTCATTAACAATGAACCAACGTTGGTCCACAGTTGTAAATATTGGTTGGCCCAACTACGAGATATACAGTTGGACAACGGTTGGTTGGTTGTGGAAGCTCCAAAACCAACTGTCCCACAGTTGGCCCAACCATCTGTGCTATATGGGTGATGTAACAAGTATTCAAGTGTTGTTAATGGACGATCTGCGAGGCATTTATATGAAATATCTATGTATGTATAGTGCCTGCTAAAAACAGCAATACACTCTGCTGCATACGTATGTATTTATTTTTTTTTTTGTAAGGGAGAGGAGGGAAAATGCTTTTACGGACACATGTAGCCAGCCTGTAGTGTGAGACTCCTGAATCCATCACAGACTACTCACTAAAAAACCCCCTCTACTCTATTGAACACAGACCTGGAATTGTTTGTCACATTACTTCAAGTCAGGCCAACATGTGACCTAAGCCCTCAGGGCTCTCACCCTTTTTGGCATTTAGATACTTTATGACCTACGGTCAAGGTTGAGCTTCTTGGTGCGGAGAATACCGTAGATGTAATGTGACACACAGGTCCAATTGTCCTCACCCTCCGTCATCATCGGTATGACCGTGTCCACTGACAGCAGTCCTACTAACTGTTGAGCCTCCAGGAGGGACCTTTCCGCAGTGGAAAAAGGTATGTTCCACGTCATCGGGAATACTCTGGCAGCAAAGTACAGAATGTACTTGCCCCGGGAATTTGTGAGGGTCATTCCCCACTCGACAGCCCTAGCATTAAAATACCCACCCACGAGACGTGTCCTGTGGTATTGCGCACGCTCTCTTCCAGGCGGTCTATCTTCTCACGAAAGTCATGGATGGCTTCGTTGGGAGTGAGGTAGACACTAAAGTAAGTGACATCCCGGCACCAAACCCAAACGAAACCTCGGCCCTTCGCGTGACCCCGTACTTGTACTTTAGCTGTATTACGCGCCAAGAATGCAGCAGTACCAAGACTATCAGGGAACCAAAAAGATGGGTCCCTATCACGGTACTGGTACTGTTCGCTGACTAAGAGCGCGTCGACATCGTGTTCGGGGGCAAGCTGACAGAGAAGTGCTTCAGCCGTCCTGGATCGCTCACGATTGCACTGAAGGATTCTTATCTTCGTGGGAGGGCTTTCGCTTGCTGTAGTGCAGATTTAAATACACTGCACTGTCCAGACCATAGATCTATAATAACAACACTGGATCGCCGACTCCGTGCTGCGAGAACGAGCCAGTGCGCTCCCGTTTCCCCCACCACTGTAAGGGGTCCGCGGTTTGAAGCGTGCGAATTCTCTACTTTACCTGTTGTTTTATTGGTTAAACACCTTGATTTTACTTTTAACCTTTATCACTATCTGTATATCATAATACTGTATGTTTATAAAAACATATTAGCCTATAGTAGGTCCTACATATAATATATTTGTAAGAAGCCAATTCTTAAATGAATTAATGAAGTTCGTAAACAGCTAATTTCTTTATTGTTTTAAATAATAATTTATATAGTGATAATTTATATATAACTAGCTGTGTGCCCGTTCTACGCACGGGGATCTTATTGTAGTCAGTTATTGAAACCTTTTTATTAAGAACAGAATTTGGTTTGCATATTTTCAGATATGCTGGCAAAACTATTATACAGTATATAAACCTTCGCAAATACAGTAACTGACAGTTTCAAGTCAAAACAAATGCTTCGAAATTAAATGTAACCTGGGTCGTGTTGGTCCATATGTTAAATCCAATGATTAAACTAAAAAATGCTTTATAGATCTATGAGGCATAGCCCTAATGTAGGCCTATAATTGAAAGTTACCTTCCACAATGGTTAAAAGTATTTAAGGTACTACTTCAACCTCCCAATTTAACACTTTATTCGTGTTGACATTTTCATTATAAAGGTACTTTTATCCTTTCCGTGAAACACTGAGAAATAAGGACATTAATGCTTTACTAACAGACATACACACAAAAATACAGAACTTAATTAGGGGGTTTGCTACGCTTTAAGCATAACAAAGTACTTGTAAAATTAGTATCTAAAATATTTTGTTAATGTCATCAAATTTCATCATAACAATGTATATTTGCTTGGACCGATGATGACCCGAAATGACGGCTTACTATATGAAATGAAGACGACTGGTCCAGGGTGGTCCAGCCACCCTGGTATAGACGATTGGTAATTTATAGTAAATATTACCAAAATAGGCCACTAACTATTGATACATAAACAACGTAAAGCGTTTAAACAATTCATTATGGTTAGTTGAATAAATGTTTTACTAAAGTGCGTTATCGTTTTCTTAGCATAAACTAACATTTTGGAATCAAGAAAGAAAAAGCAAAAATTGTACAGTTAAGACATCAATTAAATTGAATACGCCTGTAATAATAAATAAGGTGCAACACCAACGATAACTAATTTGTAAAGTACAGTGATGTGTTGGTACTTAAAAATGATTCTTGCTACTACCAACAGTACCAACGGTTCTAAGGAATAGAACCGGTACCAAAAACCAACGTTCACAGTTGAGAACTATAGTACAGCCGACCAATTATATGAGTTAATCAAGTCCCGAGGTTATTGATCTCTTGGTTTTTTATTTTCTCGTAAAACGTTTTAAAACGGCAATCAAAGTTATTTCCCAATAATTGCTTTATTTGTAAACAACTTTTAATGTAAACTTATCTGTGTCAGTTTTAAAAAAAAACAACCTCATACAAACAACTTTTTGTTATTTAATAGATTAGGCGCCCTACGTACCTATATTCTCTAAACAATGATTGGTAAAGGCTATCTAATAACATTAGAAGGAAATGTGACAAAAATCACACAACGTTGGGTTTTTGGACGTTTGTAATTTTATTTCTTAAGTAGGTAGGCCGTGTATTCTAGGGAAAAGTACCGGTATCAAGGATCGTCGTCGAACAGTTTGTTATGAATAATTGGGTAGGCGTACGTACCCAAGAGCATGGCTGTATGGTCCAGCGATTGTATCACACGGTGAGTAGGTACTATTGACTATATATATATAGTCAATGGTAGGAACAGAAAATAACACATTGTTACAATCAACCACTGCAGTTGTGATTTTTTACTTACCACTTTACACAACCGCCATTGAAGCGCCGTGTCAATGAGTGGAAACCTTATTTCTAAGCCATTGGCGACGATTATTATTAAATTTAAAGTTTCCCACTGATTCAAGGTCTTCTTTCTGGTTATCAAAACTCAAGAACAATTTATACACAAAGAATCTCTGGTTCCTGAACTGGATGATGCCTAGTTATTTAATTTCATTTACACGGTTACACTATTACACTATATTATTGCACTTTCGATTAATTAAATCCGTTATGTAAGAAAAACGTTTTTAATCACTTGGGATTTACATTCAAAACGTGATTGAAAAAGGTTGCGGTATTTGTAAACAACATTTGTAAACATATCAGTGACAGCTAGGAAAAATAATCTTGATCCGAACAGCTGTTCGTTATTTCATAGATGATTATGCAATAAAAATTGGACGAAAACTTGACATAAATCGCACAAAACTACATTTTTGAACGTTCGTAATATTATTTACAAAGTAGTGAGGCCATATTTTAATGGCTAAAGACAATCTCGCCAATCCAGTGAATACATTAAAATGACTTGGATCTTGATAGGTACTCTCGTTTTCCAGGAGAAGATAGCGTAAAATGCCATCTTGAGTGTTACAGACAAAGGGAAAGACAGACAGACAGACAGACAGACAGACAGACAGAAATTGAGATAAGACTCGTTTCTGCTTATTTAATGTATAAGACGTAAAAATAACCTAAAAATATATAATTCTGAGCAATGTACAGACAAAACTCTAATTTTATTTATATAGATAAAAATTATCATATTACATACATTATGATGTATTATGGAATATTTTTTGTAGGGGTTACAAAATCAACTACAATAATGTTTTAACATATTCTTTTTATTGTTACAGAACATAAAAGCATTACATAGGTACATATAATGTCATACATTGACAAAAATGAAAGTACAGGCCTACGTGTGACTGAACAATATTACCTTATTTAATTTTTGCCGTAGACC